CCGCCTCTAGCCCCCAGCCTGAGGGCCCCCCGGGCGGTTGGCGGTAGCAGCTACTGCGAACGCTGTTTACAGTTTTGCACAGTGGTCTTCCCCATTGTCCACTCAAGTCATGGCCTGGGAGACACAGCCGGAGCTGTCCCCAGTGTCCTCTGCCCTGGAGCCCCTGGTCTGGCTGAGTGGTCAAGGCCTGGGCTGTCCCCTGGGACAAAGGTGCATCCCTTCAGCTCTTGTCTGTGGAGCTCGGGGCTTTCTGTATTTATGTCTTTGTATGAATGTATATAGCAACCAGAGCATTCTTAAGACTCACCCTGGAGACGGCAGAAGGGATGCTGCCGCACACTCCAGGCACCTCAGGCCCGGCTTGGATGGGCAAAGTTGGGCCAGGCCAGGCCCCTGGGCCCTCAGCACTGTGCTTGCCACCGCCGACCTCCGAGTGAGACTCGTGCCTGCCGCTGCCGCCCTGGGTTTAGGCCGCCACCTCTGGGGCCCAATACTGTCCCTTCTCAGCGCCTGTCAGAGCTGGATCTGGGACCACTGGGTCCCCTAGGCCTGTGCCAAAGTGTGACCAGAGACTGGGCTGCCCCTGGGACTCCTCAGTCCACTGCCCAGGCTGTCCCAGACGGGTCTGCCTCTGCCTTCCAGCTCCCGGGACACCTCGTCCCTTGTGCTGGGCCCTGTCCTGGAGTCACCTCTTGCAGAACAGCCCAGCCCAGGCCACAGGAAGGGAAGGGGTGGGGGTGTCACTGACCAACCCTCAAACATTCCAGACTCCCCTCGAAACAGACACATGTGCCCAGCAATAATCCGCTCCTCCCTGTGTGTGTGTGAGAGAGAGAGAGAGAGAGAGAAGGGGGCAGGCTGAGGCTGTGTGCCTGCATCCCAGCCCCAGCCCTTCCCAGACTGATGGCCCTCTTGGTCCCAGTGTTAACGGTAATGTGGGATACAGGGCCCCAGGTTTTCCATATTTAAGGCCGATTTTTATTACTCATTTTGTCCAATGTAAGCTGCCACGTGTCTCTGTGTGAATACAGTCCGAGCACAAACCTGGCTAGCTGCCCCTGCCTGCCTCTTTCTTGGCCCTGGTGGTCCAGGGATCTCCTTGCTTCCCTGGCCCTGCTGGAAGTGGGAAGGGGTTGGAAGTGGGGCTGGTGGAGGCTGCCCTTCCACCAAGGCCTAAAGGCCTCAGGACTGATCTTGGGGTAACCTCTCCAAGCTCTGGTGGCCTTTGGGTCCCCACTAGGGTATGGGTCTGACTCTGCCTGTGCTGAAGAGGCAGGCCCAGCTGGCAGTATCCTCCAAGACCAAGGCGGCCTGGCCACCAGCTGTGGGTTTGGAGCCACCTGTGGAGTAGGGTAGGAGCTCCTGTTGGGAATACCTGCCCAGTCTCTCTTGTCTGGACACCTCCATGATTTGCCCAGGGCCCGTACACATGTATTAGAGTCATTCCTCTGCTCTGCTTCTGAAGCAGGAAATGTGGCTGGGCAGAAATGCACACCGGTGATGCTCTAAGTTAGGTCATGGCAGAGGCAGGTGTGGACCAGCCATGTGGGCATCAGGGAGAATTCTCTGAAGGTAGCAGTTGAACTGGGCCTAGGAGACCTGCGCAGAGATGGGATTGACAGCCAGTTGACCACAAGTCTGTCCCAGACTACACAGACCTGTTCCTGTAACCTCCCAATGACTCCAGCCCCTGCTACAACCACCTATAATGGTTTGTTCCTGGCCTTTGGGCCAGGTACCCAGAGCCACAGAGGCCACATGAGCTTTGCAGTTGGACAGCTCTGGGTTCAAGTCCCAGCCTGGCCACTTGTCAAGCTGCATTTGCATAGACCCTACCCTTGTCTGGAAAGATGGGTGTGATTTCCCATTGCCTCACAGAGCTTCTATGCAAATTCACTTAAATAGCCAGTCACCCTCCTGAGCCCTTGGGTCACTGGCAGCCCAGCTCTTGACAGCATGTGCAGTATGCACCACTGCTTCTGTTGATTTGAGGGCAATGGGGTAGGGAGAGGGCTTTGCCTGGGTCTTCCAGCTGGTGAGTGGCCATTGCAGGGTTGAGAGGAAGCCAACTGAAGATGAAACTGGAGGTGAGAGGTAGGGGCCTGAGGCACAGCAAATTCTGTTGTGGGGGTTGAGGACGGAGTAGATAGGTATTAGTGTAAAGAGGCTGCAGCCCAGCTCTGGGCAGGTGTGTGAGGGTGAATGAATGCCAGGTAAACAGGTAGGTCCATACCTCCTGATGGTGCTAGTGGGAAGGAATCTGCCTGCCAATGCAGATGCTGGTTCGATCCCTGGGTCAGGAAGATCCCCTGGGGAAGAGAATGGCTACCCACTCCAGTATTCTTGCCTGGGAAATCCCATGGACAGAGGAGCCTGGAGCGCTATTGTCCAAAGGGTCGCAAAGACACAACTGAGCATGCATGCATGCAAACCTTCCACCAGATTCCCCTTAGGCTAGGTAGGCACACAGGGAACTTCTTGGCAAGGGTTCAACCCACTTTAAAGTTCTTACCACAGTGCAGAGGAAACTTCCAGAATTTACTTACTAACAAGTCTTCCCCAAGTTCATCTCCTCCCCATCCAGCATTGTGATCAGAGCTGGGAACCCAGATGGAGATGAGGCCCCCCTGCCAGCTTGGAACTCAGTCTGGTAGGCAAGCAGACGTGGGAACAGTGGGACCCAGTGTGATCAGCACTATAGCAGAGATGATTCTAGAACTGCTGGGGCTGCCACAGGGCTGAGACTGAGGGCCAACACAAAGCAAGGGAGGAGGCCCCTTGTCACAAACTTGTCCAGTTGGGACCTTCCAGGATACAGAATCAGATGTTCCCAGAAAAGGAGTCAGATGAATGATCTAGAGCCTCTAGTGGGGCAGTGGCTGGAGCCAAGATCAAGGAGACTGCCACGCTGGGTTTTGAAAGCTGTGTTAGGATGTGGGGTCTCATCTGGAAGGTGGGGGCAGTCCTGAAGGGTTTTAGGTGGTTGTGTTAGGGTGTCTGCCTAACATGTACAAAAGCACCCCATGTTTCCTTTGGGCAAACTCCCCTTAGTCGTCATGGTTCAGATGGGACTGGGCTGGCACTAGCTGTATACACATACTTAGAGCATGTGACCCGGGGGCACTGTCAGGGGTCTTTGGTTGCAAGTGACAGCTGTCCTATAGCTAACTTAGAACGTGTTAAAATGATACAGAGGAGCTGAGAGAACCAGACTTAGGCGGCTCATCAGGTAGCACAACCCCCAGAAGCAAGATGCTACAGCCATGTTTATGTCTGCACTACTGAGCTTCAAATCCAAGGAGTCCAAATGATCAGGCTGGGAACCTACCCACTGTACATCAGGGGTACAGTGTGATGTACTGTACCCCAGTGATGAGAGTGTGGTGAGTCCCACAGTGAAATAAGGGTGCTCAAAGAAAAGGGAATGGATACTGGGTGACTGAACACATATCCCTTCACCCATACCTGGATTGGTTCACCTATGTACACTTGGCCAAAACAAATCCAAAAGGAGCCTGGGGGGTTGCCTGAACTACTGATGGACAGTGTTCTCAGTTCCTCTAGGGATGGATGGCTTATGTCTAGAGCTGTGGGATCAACATCACCACCACATGGAGGCAGATTTACCTGAAAATGATGCAAACAGAAGAAAGCTGAGTGGAGAGAACAGATAAATGCCTCATTGCATTGTTAGAACACCTGGAACCTATTGTGACCATAGCTTAAAATCCCCTGGACAGTCCAGTTACAGGGAAAGTTACATTACACAAATAGGCCTCAAGCCTATTTATTTTGAGGTTTTGTCACTTGCAACCCAAAATGTTCTGGCCAACATGAGAGTACAGGATGTTTTTTGGAAGACCACCCTAAGTGTGGAGGAGAATTTGGACTGGAAACAAAGAACCTAATTAAGAGGCTGGTGGACAGTCAGAATCGGACTCAGCCTAGGCAATGGAGGCCCTGAATTAGAGCTCATCTCTGTTACCTGAAGATGAACAGAGTCCTTGGAGGCCAGATGTACAGATCTAGCACTAGTACTCCATGTGCTACTTCTTACTAGACATGTTGTAGTGTGTGCTAGGAACACAGTGGGGAGGGCTTGTGAGTTGGGCTGTTGTTCAGTTGCTTAGTAGAGTCTGACTCTGCAACCCTGTGGACTGCAGCACACCAGGCTTCCTTGTCCTTCATCATCTCCCTGAGTTTGCTCAAACTCATGTCCATTGAGTCAGTGATGCCATCCAAGCTCTCATCCTCTGTTGTCCCCTTCCCCTGCCTTCAGTCTTTCCCAGCATCAAGGTCTTTTCCAATGAGTCGGCTTTTCCCATCAGGTGGCCAAAGGATTGGAGCTTCAGCTTCAGCATCAGTCCTTTCAATGCAAATTCAGGCTTGATTCACTGGAAGGACTGCTGTGAGTTGGGAGTGGACCATATATTTGTAAGTTGGAGATTCAGTGGGGTGCCCGCCTGCTCCAACTCCTGCCCAATGCGTGTGGTGTGTGCGGTGCCTGTCAGGATGTGACGGGGGCCAGGACACGTGTGTGCTCTCCGCGTTGAGCTGTGTGTGTGTGTGTGAGGGTTCTCCATCTCAGCTGTGTGTGTGTGACTGTATGTGTGTCAGGGTATTCCACCTCAGCTGCTTGTCTCAGCATACTGTGTGTTCGGCGGACGACGGCCTGCACGGGGTCTGCCAGCGTGTGCCAGGTCCAGACAGCCTGTTGCCAGTTGTGTGGCGTGGGGTGAGCATTCCCTGTGCAGGGTGAGCCTGGCGCCCTTCCTGCTGAGTCTCGGATGCGGCAGGTGGGTTTCAGGTCCTCCGCCTTTCGCTCCTGGGACAGCCTCCTCGGCAGCGAGGGACGGGGGTGGGGGCACTCTGCTGGCTGCCGCGCGCGCGCACGCCGGACTCGGTACGCGCCGTGTACGCGCCCGTGCGCGCGCCCCGCGGCTCCAGCCCAGCGCTCGGAGCCGCCTTCGCTGTCACAGTCAGCTCCCTGGGGCCGCCGCCTCCCCCGGGTCTGGGGCTGTATCCGCGGGGCCGGCGCCGCTCGCCCTGAGCCAGGAGGACGAGCTCAAGGAGGATGCCTGGGCCCGTGAGTACAGCGGCGGCGGGCCGATCGGGTCCGGAGCGCAGGCAAAAGATGGTCCCGGGGCTGAGCCCCTCCCCGCGGGCGGCTCCGCTCCCTGGCCCCGGGTCGCTGCCTCGGACCCCCGCCTCGGCCAGCCCCTCCCCCAGCCCACAGCGGAGGGAGGGAGGGAGGGAGGGGAGAGGGAGGGCGCCAGTGAGCCGAGGAGCGGGGCGCGAGCCGCCGCCGGTTCGCTTGGAAACGGTTGCCACAGCAACGGGGTTGCGCTCCCCGGCAACGCGGCTGCAGGGCGGCGACGCCCCCTCCCCCACCTCACGAGGGGCCGCATCCCAGGGTCGCAGGGAGAGGGGGACTCTCCCTCTCAGGGTGGGGGGGAACTTCGCCCCTCTGGCCCTGTCAGGATGTGCCTGCCTCCACAGCCGTCGAGGGTGGGGGTGGGGGCGATCGGCCCCGTGGGCACGAGCTGGCTCCCACGTGGCTACAGTCGTCGCAGCAGGGCTCCTGGGGTGGCAGCAAACGTGGGGGCGGCCCAGCCACTGGGCCTGCCATGGGAGGAGGAGGCAAAGGTCCGGGGTCCGTACCCCGCCACACCAACCTCCCACCCCCTCCCCAACCCCCCTACCCTACCGCACCCACCGCCAGCGAAATGGCCTGCCACGAGTTGGGCGCTTGAGAGGCGACGGTCCCTACCAGGGAAGAGGAAAGACGCTCACCTCCCTCCTCCTCATGGCCAGAGCATGTGCCAAATGGTAGCTTGGGCCCATGGTGGGTCTCTCTGCTCCTCTTCTCAAGCCACATTCTCCAGGGAGGGGTAGGAGCAGCGTGGGCAGGAGCAAAGGACACAGCTGATCCAGGGAAGCTGAAGCCCAGGCCAAATGGGAGCACCCAGCCCATTGTCTGGATCACAAGTGTCCCTTTCTTGTCTGAGCACAAAGCCCAGACTGTGCTGGGTGGCATGCAGGTTGGCCAGCAGGCAGGCCAGCGCCACATGGAGATGCCCTGTCCTCCAGGGGAGCTCCTCTGAGGGCAGAATGGCTGCTGAGTCAGAGGAAATGACCTCTGGCTCCCCTCCCAACCTCCCCTCAGTGGGCAGCTTGCTGGGGGAGAGAAAGGGCCCTCCTGCCAGCTCTCCCAGGCCTGACTCAGCAGATGCCAGCCCCGACTGCAGGCCTTGGACCCAATATCCCAGTGATCACAACCACCCTGGGGTCTCCTTTCCCATCCAGGGAGGTGTCCTGGGTATCACAGGTGACCATTATCTAGGCATTTGAGGCAAAGATGCCCTTAGATGGGTGTTTTCCTAAGTCAGGCCTGAATCTCCCACAGGCAGGAGTGCCTTTGGAATTACTCACAGGCTCCTTTCATTCTGTTCCTGCTTTGTCTGAGACCTGTGTTGAGCGCTCTGCATCCATGATCTCCTTAGTCCTTACAACACTGTGCAAGGTAAGTTTATGACCCCCACTTTAGAGATGATGACTCCACGGCTCAGGGAAGGGAAGTGACTTGTCCAAGGCTGCGCAATCAGTAAGTGGTGGAGCTAGGTTTCCAGTGTTAGTTTCCCTACCGGCATGGCCCCTCTCTGCTGTGGTATTGCTTCATACGTCTCCTGTGACCCAGGCAGAAAAGAACTGCAGAGTCTTCTAGAGGAGCTTTCTTAACCTTCTTCCACATTCCTCCAGTGAGGATATTCCCTATGTTTTAGGTCTTGGTACCCCTTTCCTTTCTCCGGCAATAGCAGCCAGATTCTTGCTCCTCCAGATGCTCTATAGGACCAGCTACTGCCGGGCTGCCTCCTTCCCTCCCTCTCTCTAGTAGAAGTTGAGCAGTGAGGGCTACCTCAGTCCCCTGGAAATCCCTGAGGCTCCATTCCTTGGTTTGTGGGCTCTGTGGCCTGGTCAGCTTGTAACCTTGGCGGTAGCAGAAGGAATTTAGCAATAATAGGCCCATGCACTGCTGGCCCCTGTGGATGCTCAGTCTAGCTCAGGGGTTGGAAACCCAAACAGCTTCAGGGCCCAGGTGGACTAGAGCACTAATCAGCTGCAGTCTAGATCACCATGTCAGAATGTGGACTTGGTATGACCAAGTTGTCCAATTTTCAAGGTGAACCAAAAATCCAGATGTTTATGTAAAAATCTCCTGGTTTTTAAATGTTGACAACTAATCATAATATTTTTTAAAAAAATGATTATGGGTCAACAAACCATGTCCACGAACAGTGTCCAGCCTGAGTCACAAGGCTGAGACCTCTGACCCATGAGAGAGTGAAGGCAGTTTTTGCTGGACTACCTCCAGGCTTGTGTAGGTGTGGCACCATGGCCAGTTAACACATATGAACTCTTAAGGCTGCAAGGTGCTGGCAGTTTCGTTTGTCAAGTGCAGCTGTGTATACTGGTCATGAAGTATTTTCACATCCCACATCAATTCTGCTCCTCCCTCAGCACTGCCAGGCTGGTCTCATCATTTCTGTCTTATAGTGAAGAAAATTCAGTTCAGGCATGGGAATAGCTGGGATGGGTTTACACAGCTGGGCAGAAGGAGGATTTGAACCCAGGTCTCCCTGCTCAGTGCTCTGTGTGTTCACCAGGCAGCCCCTCAAAGGAGGGTATAATCCCCTCTGCTTTCCCCCCACCCCACCCCCACCCCGAGCTGTGGCCACCTCCCTTGGAGGGGCAGATCTGAGTAGACACCAACGCCCTAGGGCCCCCATCTCTTGTCCCATTTGCAGTTTCCCAAGCCCTGGGTTCCTGGCCTAGTGCCGAGGTTGGATCACAGAGATGCCAGCAGGTGAAGGTGTCAAGCCAGTACCTTGGCCTCGCTGGGAATAAGGTTCTGGCCAGCTCCATGCCTGGCTGATGGTGGCAGCTTGGGACGGTTCCTGTCAGTTTTCTCTGGTTTCAGTTCATTTGTCTTGGTGTGAGAGGAGTGTAAAAATGTCACCAGTGCTTCCCTGAAATGACCTTCCTGCCAGATTCTACAGTTCCCTGGATTTCATAAGCCCACAGGCCACGTGGGCCTGAAGTGGCCCCAGCTCCCTGCCTGTAGAGTGGGGATGACAGCATCTCCCTCCTGCCTTGGAGAAGGAAATGGCAACTGACTCCAGTGTTCTTGCCTGGAAAATCCCATAGACAGAGGAGCCTGGCAGGCTACAGTCCATGGGGTCACAAAGAGTTGGACTGAAGTGACTTAGCATGCACGCATGCAACCTTCACCTCCCAAGGTGACGCAGTGATAAAGAATCTGCCTGCCAATGCAGGAGACTCGGATTTGAACCCTGGGCCAGGAAAGATCCCCTGGAGTAGGAAATGACAACCCACTTCAGTATTCTTGCCTGGAAAATTCTATGAACAGAGGAACATCCTATAGACAGAGGAAATTTCAATGGACAGAGGCTGTAGTCCATGGGGTTGCAAAGAGTTGGACACAACTGAGTGAATGAGCACCCTCCTGCCTGAGGCAATGAATGTAATTCAAGAGGTTAGCAGGGGACTTGGCATATGCAGGGAGGGCACGCAGGACAGGTGAGTGGTCACCTTTCCTACCCCACCCTCATTCTATACACCACTCTCCCCCCTCTCTCCTCTGCCCCCTGGCCTGAATTCCTCTTCCTTCGCGGACTAGCAGCTCTGGGCTCATGTCCAGGGCTTCCTCTTGTGATCCAGAGCCCCTTTCCTCTTTCCACCTCAGAGCCCCTGGTACACATCTTAATCTCCATGTAGACTTTTCCTTTTATTCACGTAGATGTATGTATCCTCAGCTTGTTTATAAACCTCCCTGTGAGGGCTGAGAGCTGGTGATAGCTTGGTTATCAGTGATGTTTTGGTGAATGGGCAACATGTCCCAGGAATGTACTGGATGCAGACTAGCTCTTGAGACGTTCCTTATCAGACAGGTAAAAGACCAAACAGGTAACTGAACACCTCCAGTTACTCCTTCAACAAGTGGTTTTTGAGCTACTGTATGTCAGATGATGAAGACAGACGTAGCCCTCATGTTGGACACAGGCGACTACAGAACACTGTGATAAATATTGCCGGACTTCTCAGCCAGCCCTGGGGGGGTGGGGGGTGAGGGAGCTGGAAACTGACACGTCCAGGGAGGTGACAGGTGAGACCGAGAGGCTGAGGAGCAAGTGCTGGGGCGAGAGCAGTGAGGCCATGTTGCAGCTGGGTTCATAGAAGGCCTGGGGGAAACAGGTAGTGTGGAGAATGGCAGACCAAGGAAGAGCACCATGTGGAAGCAGAGAAGGTGGTGGCAATGGTCATGGAAGCCCAGGTGAGACAGGACAGTGGCTTGGCCAAGCCAGCAGTGACAGGGGGACAAAAGGAAGTGGACAGATGAAGATACATAACTCTGAGGGCTAAAAACAACAGGACTTGGCAGATGGTGTAAATGGTGGGCTCTTTGCGGAGATAAAAGACCCAGCAGCAGATCTTTGGAGTCTAAGGTTAGGGTGCTGCAGTGCTTTATGCAGAGGAACAGTGTGGGAGGCACACACAGCAGTGTACCAGGCCCCAGAGACCATTAATCTGTCTGAGCAAAGTGTTCTTATGTCAGATGGGCAGAATGCTCACCTAGTTTATAAGGTGACTGAGAAAACTCTGCAGCATCCAGCCCTGGGGCACACACGTCTGTACCCCCAGCTCTGAAACTGTGGGCAGCAGTGCTCATGTTTTGGGGTGTCTCTAAGCCCTTTGCATGGATTAGCTCACTCTCCTCCACTGATGAGGAAACTGAGACAACATAACCCTCCCCAGGTCTCAGTTCCATCCCCCGCCGTGTTCCCAGTGAGAGCATGGCCTAAGAAAACCCTACAAAGCGATATACTCAGAAACTCCACAAAGAAATCAAGATGGAACCCTGAAAAATGTCTAAATAACCCACAAGAAGGTAAGTAAAAAGAATGAGGAGGAAACAAACAGAAAACAAATAATAAAACAGCAGTCTTAAGGATGAGCCTGGCTGAAGGCTCTGCTCCCAGCACACAGCTGGAGTTGGTATTTACTAAGGACCAGGCATGTGTCTGCAGGGGATGGAGAAGGTGAGCTGCTGTAAGCAACAGGCAGACGGTCTGCATCTGAAGGGCTTCCCAGACCGGCCAGGAGCATGCACGAGGCGTGAAGGGTAAAGAAATAATACTTTGGAAAGGCTTTGAGAAACTTTGCTTAGGAAAAGCCCTTGGAAAAGTCTGAATGAATCCCTTGACATTTATATAGTGGGCACCTACTGTGAATTAGATGAGATGTTACTGAGCAACTCCCTCCAGATCAGGAGGGAGGCTCAGGCAGGATTCCTGCCGTCTGGGCCTGCTGGACCACCAGGATGAAGCAGCAGCCCCAGAGGCATTTGTCATTGCTCCCCTCCACATTAGGCACTGGAGTCAGTGTGAAGCCAGAGGCCAACTCAGCTGAGAGTGTATGCAGACTTTCTCTCTCAGAACCACGGTGGCCAAGTCTGTACAATTCAGTGATGGTTCTGTCACTTGGCTGGTATTTAGCTAAATAGAAATAAAAATACCCACCAAGGCCTGTCTACTGTATGTCAGGCCTTGTTCTATGCCTCTTCTTTGATCTTACATGATCATACGTGATGATCACGTCTTACATGATCTTCAATACCACCTTCTTGCTGGGGATCATATCCATTTGGTAGACTAGAGAGGCGACAGTGGCACCCAGCGGGTCTTGGGTTTGGCCTGTCTGTCCCCCTAACGCCCAATGAGCTGAGCTAGACCCCTCAGGGCACAGTCCCTGTCCTTTGTTCCTTATTAACCCTAGAACTGCCATTCCACCTCTCCTTCACCCTGTAGCCTTTTCCCACTCTTGAACTGAAGGCTGGTCGGCAGAAGTACCAAGTTTTGGTGAGAAAGTACAGGAAGGTGCATTTTGACTACAGGCTGACCAGCCTGGCTAGTGCCCCCACAGGTACCAAATCTCCTGTACTGAGTGCTCACACATGCTTATTTATATCTCACTCATCATTTAGGGGAAAGTGTTTCAACACAGACTTTGGATTCAGAGTCAGGCTAAATCCTAGCTCATCCCCTTATTAGCCGTGTGACCTCGGGCAAGTCATTTCCTTTTCTAAGCCTGTCTCATCCATCAGATGGGCATGACCCCCACCGTAGGAAGGTGGTATTGATTACATAAGATTATTCTGCATGGAAGGATTCTAAAACGAGGCTTCACACAGCAGACAGTCCTTGATGTGTATTTCTAAGTCAGCTAAACTCCATCACCTCCAGCCCCAGAAGTGCTTCTGTGACCCAGAGCTGTTCCGGCCCTGCAAGCCAAGGAGGCACCTAGTTAGTGCCAGCTTCCTCAGAGCATTCCTGAAAATTCCTGTGGGCTCAGGAAAAGGAGAACAGATTTAATTAACCCCCAATGACTGGCAGCATCGTGTTTTTATCTGGGCTGCGTCGCCATGGCAGCCTATGGTGGGGTTGTGAAGGGGGCGGGTGGAGCTATTGTTCTTGCCATTGTCTGTTCTGGAATGGAGGCCCAGGAGACAGGGACTGGCATGGGCACCAAGTGGCACATGGCACAGAGCAGCCGCGGAGTCAGACAGGAGCCATCTGGGGAGAAGTGTGGGGTATACTGGGCGGCCTGGCTTCCCCCCAGCTTGCTCTCAGACCAGCCTAAGTTTAATGTGGGGTCCTCAGCTTGGGGCTCAGGCCCACTGTGACGCCCAGAGCTGAATACATGTGTGCCTTGGCTGGGCATTCTGAGGATGGGGGACGGGGAGTCCAAATAGACCCACAAAATAGCTCAGGAGGCAGCACTCTTAACACCCCAGGCTAGGGTTTTGTGGCCAGACTTGGATTCAAATTATAGAACCGTCACCTGCCATCCACACAGCTGCTAACTGTGTAAAATCTGTAAAACAGGAATAATTCATTACCCCAAAAGGTTACTGTATGTGAAACGCCTTGGATGTGAGGCATTCAAGAAGAGCTCATTCCTTTTCTGAGGGGGTGGTGAACAGTTGCCTGCCACTGTCCCTCCAAAGTCAGGGCTCCCCTCCTACATACCTCTTAACGATGCAAGCTTAGAGGAGGTGGAACTGGAAGTGCCCATCTGAAGTGATGTGGGCCCAGGCGGTACCAATTACTTGAGCTAGTTTTCCTACCCTCTGCCAGAGAGGAAAAGGAGTTGGGGGAAGGGACATGGCGGCCTGGAGCTAGAAGGGCAGGGCCAAGTCGGGCTGCGCATGGGTAGGAGGCTCGGGAAGCGGAGACGGAGATGGGATTCAGCGAGCGGAGGCGCCTAGAGGAAAGGAAAAGAGGGAACGGCCCACGCTCGGTGGCATGTTCGGCTGAGACAAAGACAAGCTGGTAGCACGCAGTAGCCACTAAGAACCGTCCGCCTGATCCCCCCTACAACAGCTGAGACAACCAGGAGGCCGCGGTGCGAGCCGGAATGTTCCAAGCTCTGGGCAGCCAGGTTTGGGAGCGGGAACAAGGTCTAGGACGCCAGACGTTGCCAGGTGCGTATGCACAGGCTGAAGCTGGGCCCCAGCGGGCTGCTCGTGGGGCCTAGGAGGTGAACCACCTCTTCCCCGCCGCAAAGCAACTGCACAGTGGCTCCCCTTCAGCGCCCTGGATGTCTGCCTATGGGCAGACTGAAGCCCTTTCGGAGCTGGGGTACCCTGCACCCGCGAGATGCGGATGGAGAATCTCTCAGGAACACTGAAGCTGAACCTGGCCTTCGCCCGCCCCCTGCTGGCCGGCCTGGAATCACCTCGGATGGGAGGCGGCGGTGGCGGCGGCCCGGTCTCAGAGACGGGAAAGCCCTACCGGGGAAACCTCGGGCGTGACGTCATCCCTGGTGACGTCACTGGGCCCCCGCGGAGTGCGGGGGTTCCGCACAGGAGGCTTCCCCGGGATTGCGCAGGGCACCCGCGTGGGCAAGGAAGTCGTCGGGGGCTGCAGCGCGCCTTCACCGCGCCCTGTCTGTCCTACAGGTTCCACGCGGTCCCGGGTGAGGCCCGCCAACGCGCCTACCGGCGCCATGGGAAGGAACGGGCGCCGCTGCTGCTGCTGCTGCTCCCCGCCGGCGAGCGCACGACTTGAGCCCAGCTGCGGGCAGCCCCCGGCTGCGGGTCCTCGAGTGACGCTGGCGGCGTCTGGGAGCTTGGCGCGGGCCCGGGGCCACGTCGAGGAACCCATTGTCCAGTGAAGCAGCCGAGGACCCGCCGCCCGCGCCGCCGCCATGGTTATGTCCCAGGGCACCTACACGTTCCTCACGTGCTTTGCCGGTTTCTGGCTTATCTGGGGTCTCATCGTCCTACTCTGCTGCTTTTGCAGCTTCCTGCGCCGCCGCCTCAAACGGCGCCAGGAGGAGCGGCTGCGTGAGCAGAACCTGCGCGCCCTTGAGCTGGAGCCCCTTGAGCTTGAGGGCAGCCTGGCAGGGAGTCCCCCGGGCCTGGCGCCCCCGCCACCCCCTCACCGCGGCCGTCTTGAGGCGCCGGCGCACGCCCACCAGCACGTGCACGTGCACCCACTGCTGCACCACGGGCCCGCGCAGCCACACGCGCACCCGCACGCACACCACCACGCGCTTCCACACCCGCCGCCGCCGCACCTATCCGTGCCGCCCCGGCCCTGGAGCTACCCCCGCCAAGGTAAGTACCGCGTGCGCCAGGGGGCGGCCGGGCTCACTAGGATGGGCGAGGCCTCGGCAGGGGGAGAGAGGAGGGCTCGCTGCTCTCCCGCGGGGCTTCCACGGGAAAGCCTCTCCAGCGAACGAAGGAAGAGGGAGTGGGTTGGGGCTAGGGCTGGCGGCTGGCCGAGGCCTCTGCGGGAGGCCGAGTTGGCCTCACACCCGCGGACTGCTTTCCCACTTCACAGCGGAATCGGACATGTCCAAGCCACCGTGCTACGAAGAGGCGGTCATGATGGCCGAGCCGCCGCCGCCCTACAGCGAGGTGCTCACGGACACGCGCGGCCTCTACCGCAAGATCGTCACGCCATTTCTGAGCCGCCGCGACAGCGCGGAGAAACAGGAGCAGCCGCCACCCAGCTACAAGCCGCTCTTCTTGGATCGGGGCTACACGTCGGCTCTGCACCTACCCAGTGCCCCGCGGCCCGCGCCGCCCTGCCCTGCGCTTTGTCTGCAGGCGGACCGCGGCCGCCGGGTCTTCCCCAGCTGGACCGACTCAGAGCTAAGCAGCCGAGAGCCACTGGAGCACGGAGCTTGGCGCCTGCCGGTCTCCATCCCCTTGTTCGGGAGGACTACAGCCGTATAGAGGGCGCCCGGCGTCCCGAGCCCCACCCGCGGACTCCTGGCCTGATTGCGGGGCTTTTTAAATGCTTCCCTTGGACTGAGGGGGGTGGGAGGGTGGGGCGGGAGGGAGGGATTTCTTACCCCGTTTGTTACATTTTGAGGATAATAAAGGTGTGTGATCTGGTTTGGTACAAGCGGAGGGGGCGCCCACTGCTTGCGGCCAAGGTTCTGGTGGCCAGGTGTGGCCGGTCTTATCGGCCCAAAACAAGCTGTAGAGCTAAAGCTGAGGTCAGCCTGGTTCCCCTGAGTGTCTTATACCCCACTTTCCTTGGGGCCTTGGTGAGGATGCCCTCACAGCTTTAGAGGTAGTTAAGAGTTGGGAATGGGGTCGGGGCAGGCGGCCCACCACAGATCAGCCCCTGGAGGCCCGGAGCAGCAGGCCTGAAGGGATCTGGATTTCTTTATTAACAGACATGAGCACGACCTGTTACAGAAGTTTGTGCTTTCCAAAAAACAGTTACTGAACGTGAAAAAGGAACCCAAGCAAAGAGGGAGGAGGTGGAGAGGGGCCACCCATAGCCCTGACCTGAATCACGCCTAGGGCCTCCAGCCTGGGACCTGCCCAGCAGGAGGGGGCAGGAAAGGGCAGGGAAGCTGAGAGGCCCCAGCTAGGCCTGCTTCTCTTCCTTTGGGCCAGGTGGGGAGGGGTCAAGAGAAGGGCGGGGAGGGGTGTCCCAGGGAGCCAGAGCCCACGAGCCATTTATTGCCATGTTTTAAAATTCGTGCAAAATATCTGAAGCCCTGGACAGAGAATACAAAGTGATATTTTTTCCAAGAAACAGAAAACTAGGAAAAGAGGTGGGGGGAACATTTTCCCACCAGAACTTCCCCCCCACGCCAGGTGAGGCCTCCACCCCGGCCAGGTGAGTGAGCAGGAAGGACTAAGAGCTACAATCTGGACCGGGTGGGAAGGGGGTGGAATTTGCAACAGCGTCTTAACTACCAACGGGAGGAAAACCAGTCAATTGTACAAGTCTCCTATCAACTTTAAAAAAAAAAAAGAGAAAAGCTGTAAAAGTAGGGCCCTGTGGGTAGGGATGCGGCCAAGTTCCCAGCCAGGGCCAGAATCCAGAGTGGGTGCCAGGCGGAGCTGCTGCGAGTGCAGGCACTGTGGACCATCTGGCCAGAGACGGGGCAGGTGGGCGGCCTTGGCGAGGGCAGCCTAAGGGCAGGCACCACGACTAGTCACCACCCTCGAAGCCCTCCTCCTCTTCCGGTACTGGGTCTGCATCCCAGCAGGTGATGTCGATTTCTATGATGTGGGGAAGGGAAGGGAGTTAGGATGGCTCAGCAGATCCATGCCTGTGTCCATCCCAACCCCAGCGAGCTGTCCCAGCTGTGTATGGGGGAAGGGCTGCCTGGCCACACTTGAACGCAGCACCCCCACCCAAATTCCTCTCCATCATCCATCCCAGCACTACCTGGAGGCTTGTTGTAGAACACAGGAGGCGGAGCCTTTGCACATAGCTCTTCTGATTGGACAAACTCCTCCTCCTGTGATTGGCTGAAGTACCCCTCACTGGCCTGCAGGAGAAAAGCTCCAAGTCACTGGGCCCCACCCAGCAGGACTAGGGCTGACCTACCAGGCCTGAGCTCGTTTCCCCAGCAACCAGTGAGTCCAACAGTGGTTGCCAGGGAAACACAGATGCCTACCCTGGGAATAAAAGCAGAGCTGGCCCATGGAGGGGAAATGAAATAGCTTCCCCCCAACAATGTGGGTCACAGAAAAAGGTGGCAGGGTACTGTTGCAAGCCTGAGGAACCAAGGGTCAGCCCCCTGCTCCAGCCCTGACTACTTCCCATCCCATCAGGTAGCCCCAGCCCCACCTGGGTCCCCTCCTTCTGGGTGGTCTCGCCATTGGTCAGCAGGTGGGGCTCTGGTTCCAGCTCTGGCTCCAGCTTCTGATCCAGCTCTTCTAGAGCTGAGGGCAGAGTTGGAGCCTGGGGGGCAGCCAGGGGCTCCCCTTCTACTTCCTCCCCTGGGTCACAGAAGGTGGCTGGCGGCTCAGGCAGCTCATCAAAACTGAGAAGATTGGCACTGCCTTCTCCTGCTGGCAGCAGTGGCTCCTGAGCCACCTCATCCAGCAGGGGCACCTCCGCCAACATGACTTCGGCACCTGAAGGTGGTGTGGGGGCCTGAGGCTCAGCCTGGGGTGCAGAGGCCCCTTCCCCATTGCCTGGCCATAGGTCAATGAGGCTGGCAGTGGCAGGGGTGATGGTGTTAGCAACAGCAGTGTCAGCAGCGGCAGTGTCGGTTTCAATGGCATCAGCTGCTGGGCTGTCGGTTGTAGAGGCTCCAGCCACGGCAGGCTCTAGAGAAGCAGCCAGGTCTGCCTGCTCTGTAGATGCCATGAACATCAAGTTCTCCTCCATGGGGCTGCCTTGGCCCTTGGGAGGTTCCGAGGCCTGAGGGGACTCCTCCAGGGGGCCAGCCCTGGCCTGAGGGGCTGCTTCTCTGGCTTCCTTGCTGGTCTCTTCACTATCCAGGCTGAGGCTGGGCTCCTGGGTCTCTGTCGAAGCAAAGACAGAGGAGACATGTGATCAGCTCCCAGGAAAGGATGCGGGCCCTGGGCAGCCACCCGAGAATACCCTGCTTACCCACTGAAGAGTTCAAGAAAGAAGGCCTCCACTAAGACTTCCATGCAGAGTGCCTTCTAACACCCAGTGGCCCCTGCTGCCCCTTTACCCGTAGTCTTTAAACTGCTCAGCAGCCCTGGGAGGAAGGCCCAGTCCCCACTCCAGGAAGACACTGAAGTCCAGAAAAGGCAGGTCTGACTAGGGCTAGTCCCTGCCCCAGCCACTATCAGGGCCGTAGAGCGGCCACTTGGAGTTCCCAGTCCAGGGTCTAGGGCCCCCTCACATACCTTGGGCTGCTGGGGGTGGTGGCGGCAGTGGTGGAGGCTGCGAGGACGTGACCTCATCCAGGGCCCGCTCTATCTGCTCAGCAACAGGGGTGGAGGCCGTGCTAGAGTCAGAGGGGCTCCGAGCAGGGAGAGGGGTAGGTATCATCCTCCGGTGGCTGTCCAGGTGGCTGCCTGTGGGACAGAAAACCCCAGGCTGATCAGTGAGGGCCAAGGAGCCAGAGAGAAACAGGACTGTCCAACTTGGGGCCTGGTCAGCCCCTCCTCTCTGGAGTCTGGGTGGGGGCTGGGAGCTCCCCAGGCCCCCCAGGGGCCAGACCACAGCTCCAGACCTTGTAAGCCAGGCCCCCGGAGGGCCAGTGCCCCTCAGGGCCAGGGGAAAGAAGCAGGCAGTACCTGCTCTGGGGATAAACACCAGAGATCGGCGATCAGGCTTGGGGAGGGCAGGGGGGCTGCTGGGAAGCGGGGCCCTCCTTACCCCCTCCCACAGAGGCCTGGGACTGCTACCTACATGGGAGGGAGGAAGAGAGGTTTGGGGTGCGGTGACAGGTGATATAGGGAAAGGGAGTCCGTGGAGGGGAGGAAGAGGAAGAGGAGGAGGAGGAAGGCCCACTGTCCGATGCCTTTATGAAAGGGCAGTACGGACGACCTGCCAAGAGAGACAGACAGAGAGAGAGAGACAGAGGACAAGAGAGGGTCAGTCTCCCCCACCCCCATCCTGAGGCCTCACCCACCCCCAGGCCGGCCCTGGATGTCCAAGCTGCCTTCAGCCAGGGCGCACATTCAGCCAAGCTGGACCAGAGCCTCAAGCCATCAGACCACTGCCACCAGCAACAGCCACACACGGTAGAGAGCCTGACACATCACGATGCAGCCAGCCCCCCAGCCTCTGGGCCGCCCGCGCCCAGGAACAGCCTGCCCCACCCCTAGAGCCCTAGCACTTGAGCCAAGCACACAGAAGGGGCAAGCAGGCCAGCAGACAGGGAGCAGGAAGGTGCTTCAAGGAGAGCTGGAAGCCATCCAGGGAGAATCCAAACAGGGATCCCGGAGTACAGCTCCAGGCTGCTCAATCTCAGGACAGGACGAGGCCCCACTCCCCATGCACCTACAGTTCTTCAGATGACAAGTGCAATCCCAGCAGGGCCACTCACAGCAGCCAGGGGGATCCCTCAGCCCCCATGGCCTCTAGCACCACCCATCGCTCAGACCAGGCTCTGCTCGAGCCCTTCTCAGCCCTGCCACCTGGAGGCGGTGGGTGGAAGCACACGTGATGCTCGGCCTTGGCTTCTCCAGGGGGTTCTTGGGCAAGGTTTCCCTTCCGAGGAAGGTCCCAAAGAGGCTCAAGACCAAAACCTGAGGAGTGGGGGTTGGGTAAGGGTGTGGGAGCTGGGACTACCTGGTCGGTGGTTGAAGGGTGAGGGCACATCGCAGCTGCCTGCGGAGGCCGATGCGACTCTTTCCTGCTGCTTAAAGAACTCCCGTGGATTATCAGGTCGCTGGGCAATAATGGCTGCTGCCTCCTGGGGGCACACGGAGAGTCAGGACAGGCGGGGCCGGATTGAGGCAGCCGGGCCAAACTCAGATGCCTGGTCCCCCCCACAGTGCTCACCTCTACCTCTGATTCTGACTTCTTCATCTGAGTCTCTTCCTCCTCATCCCGCTGGTCACCCTGGAAACCAAAGGGATGGTGTTCTGAGCACTCTACCCCCACAGGAACTCTGGGCTTTCTTACAGCCCACTTCTTTCACTACCAGAAACCACTTTCATGACCCATTCCCACAGCACCTTTCATCTGCAAGGTCCTCAGCTGCCTCATCTCCAGTCCAGACAGGCCCCTGGGCACCCAGGGCCATACAGGAACACTCCCAGCTTTGTGGCTAACTTTTCTCGAACCTCTTACCCCAGGACCTGGCCATCCGTGCAGCCTGAATCTTGGTATCATGACTGAGGCTTCACTAGTCCCCTGCCTCCTTGCTCTTTCCCCCTATTTCTTTCTCTATAGACCCTGAAAGGATCTTTCCAAAACATAATTAATTGCCATCACTTAAAAATCATCAATCTACCTGCAATGCAGGAGACCGCTGTTCAATCCCCAGATCGGGAAGATTCCCTGGAGAAGGAAATAGCAACCTACTCCAGTAGTCTTGCCTGGAGAATTTCAACAAAGGAACCTGGTGGGCTTCAGTCCACGGGGAAGCAAACACTCGGACACGACTGAGCAACTGTCACTCACTCACTCACAAATCAAGTTTCTTACTGAAATCAGGGTCTTCA